AGTGCAGAGGATGGCCTCCTGGGCCAGCTGAGCCACCTCCGTGTGTACATCTCGGGACCATAGGGGAGTCCCAGTGGGGAAGGAACCTGCTGTCTGGTCCCAGCAGAGACCCAGTGGATGGGGTGCTAGGTACCCCCCCCACACACACACACACTAAAGCATCTCATGTGTGCAGTGTCACAAATGCTTGGCAGCTGGGGGACAAAGGTTGAGTCATGGAATCTTCCAGGAAATTTACTCTCTCCATTAAAATTTGATGAACAAAACTGACAAGGGTTCTGGTTGCTCCAGAAGCCCCATGCCAGTTCTAGTTATTCCCCCAAAACCGCTCCTCTGTGCTGGGCTGGACAGAACATGAGCAGAGTGGAGTCAGGCATGACCCTGGAGAGCTGGGGTACCTGAAGCACTGGACCCACAGGCTGGAAGAGGACAGGGGGTCTGGGATCGCCTGGCCACAAAGCTCTTGCTTGCAGGCCTGCATGGTTTCTGAGGCCCCTTCATAGTGCACTATTATTCCTCAGCATGCAGCATTGCCCTTCCCTTTCCCATGTACTCTGGTGGGAAAGGACAACCTCTGGATGAGCAGGTTTGGCAGACATTTTCCTTCCAGATAGAGGATCAGTCAGGACTAGAGGGCACTGGGGAGGCTGTGATGGTGCCAGTGCCAGAGGAGCAGCCGGGGGCCAGGTGGTGCCAGTGTGTCTCAAGCAGACTGTGTCCAGCTGGCCCCGGAATGCAGTGCTTCTCCTGGTGCTAGAATCCCCTCCAGCCAGGTGGTCTTTTCCCTTCCTCTTCCCTCTTCACACCTTTCAGGCAGAGGAAGCCTGGCTGCCCTGCTGGCCCTGATAGAGGTCATGATAAAGCAGGTGAGCACCACAGAGTGGAAAGAGCCCCATTGTTGAAGCCAGAGAGGGCAGGTTCAAATCCCAACTCTGGCAGCAGCCTTTTGTGAGACCTTGGGCAAAGCATTTCATCTTCAGGGGCCTCAGCATTCTCTGTAAATGGGGGTGGCCATCTCTACCTTGCAGGGATGTTATAAAGATTAGGAAGACTGTGTGTGAGGTCCCAGGGAAGTTTCTTACAAATAGTAAGTGTCCTCATAGCACTAGGATTCTAGAAGCTATAACTAAGCCATCGATAAGAAAGGTTCTGTCCTGGAGTGGCCAGGGCTGGTCCAGGAAGAGCAGGGGTGGAGGTGGAGGAGGCCGGGGCACATAGTGGGGACTGAGAAGGCATCTACCAATTCCCCCAAAGGCACCGTGACCCTTGGGGCCAAGTGGCAAATGGCTGCTTTGAGCCATCCACAGACGTCCATGTGTCCCTCTTTGAGCCCACACAGCCCCATGTTGAATGAAGACATGCATACCTGCCATGTCCCCCCTTTCCCTCCCCCCACTGCAGGGGAAGCCATGAGTGGGGAGGGATTTTGTCAGTTCAAGAGGCCTGGGGTGGGACACAGGGCCTTTTCCAGCCCACGCTGGCCTTGGGCTGCACGGGGACAGGGAAAGGGCCAGACAGAGGGTTCCTTTCCCAGCTGCTGGTCCCCTCCAGGCAGAGGCCAGTCCACCCTGACCTCTCTTTTCTGACCAAAGCCACAGACCCTCTTGGGAAAATGCCCATTCCCAGTGGACGTGGCTCATGATTCGGGATGGAGGTGCCCACAGAGCTCCTGGCCTGAGCTGCCTCCCTCTGAGCTTCTGCAGGTCATTGCCTGTGCCTGGTGCTCACCCTGCTCAGCTCGGCTGCATGGGTCTGCCTCCCCCAGGGGACTGAGCCTTGGGCCCCAGTACCCAGCACAGGGGTGGGTAGGGTCAGAAATATGAGTGAAGGAACAAGGAGGGACACCTGGGCAGTCCCTGCTGCTCCCTGGGTCCTGCTAGGAGGAGGGCAGAGAGGCTAATGGGCCTGTCACACTTCAGTCCTGCTGCTCCCCACCCCTTCATGTGCTAGAATAAAAAACGGGCCCTATCAGGGGCGGAACCCTGTGTCCCTCAGGCTGGGGTTGTGTCCACCCCTGAGACCAGGGGTTTTGTGGAAACCCGGTGATGAAAGAAAACCACAGGAAGCCTGGATGACATTAGAAGTCATTTTCCTTTATTTTCTTAACATACAATGAAATTCCAATTCCCAAGAGACATATGCAGAGCAGGCAGAAGCAGGGCCTGGTGAACAGCAGCAAGGACAGGCAGCGGGGTGGGTCTGCCCCCTTCTCCCCTCCAGCACAACCCTCAGCCCCCTGGCCAGGCCGAAACTGAGAAGCTGGGGGTGAGAGGGGCCAGTCTCATGGGCCAGGTAGTAGCCAGAGACATGGCCGTGGCTGATAGGCCTGGGCAAATCATGACCTAGCTGTGGGACCTTGGGCCTCAGTTTCCTTATCAGTAAGGTGGGCTGGGAGTCCCTGCTAGGGAAGGACTGTGAAGGCCTCCTGCTTCTAGATACCTGGGTATGGGGTCTCAGTTTTATCACCATCGCGGCTGTGGGCACCTGGGGGACCTGCTCTGGCCCTGGTGGAATTGAATGGACTGTGTAGATGGCTGCCCCTGAAACAGACCCTGTGCTCTGAACTGTATGTACTTGGGCTGCAACCATAGGTCCTTCATCAGGTCAAGGCCGACTCTCCCTCCAGGTAAGTGAGGAGGGAAGGCTGGGGCCTGGGTCACACGGGAGCCTGTGCAGGTCACCCAGCTCCCTGAACGCCTCCAGCCAGGAGCTCAGCACCAGGGGCGAGCCTCTCCTCGCCCCTCACGATCAGCAAGGGTATCTGCTGCCGTGGGCTGAGCCACATCTGTCCCCAAACTGTCCTTTCATAAACACACCCTTGTGTAACAGCAACCTGTGCCTCCTCTGGCAGGAGGAAGCGGAGAACCAAACAATGGTCAAGATGGTGCAGTGATAGGTGGACAAGACCAACTAAAACTCAGCGAGGAAACGTGGGTGTTCCTCCTTGACCTCTAAATGCCCTTCACTGGGCAGCAGCAGGCCCTGTCCGAATGCAGCGGCAGGACTGGCTGCTGCTCGCTGCTTGGAAACACGCAGCGTCCTTACTGCATCTGTGCTGGGGGAAAGGACCCAGCGCGAGTGGAAGACGCTGATGCCGACAACATCTTCCGGAGCCCACAGCGTGTCTACACTCACAGACCCCCAGAGAGGGGCCTCGGGCCACGGAGCTCTCTCTGTCCCTGCCGCTCTCAGACGGGGGCCCTGGGAGCAAGGCAAAGTGCAC